TTTATTAAGTTTATTTAACTAACAAGTTAATAAACAACTTTTATAATGACTAATTTATTTATATCCTGATTTTAGTTTTCTTTGTATTTTGTCGTCAGATTGTATGCTAATGAAAATACTGTTTTCCACCAAAGTTTGCCAAATAGTGTTGTTAGTGAATTATCTAGTTTATCACAAATTTGTGAACCTAGACCATTAGATGGAGAATTTGGTGATAAATCTGGTGATAATGTCACCCAAATAATAGAAAAACAACAATTTATAATATTAGATCCATGTTTTGAAAAGTTACCAGTTACAAAGGGTAGGATAATGGTTAGGTGTATCGTTTGTTACAAACAATTAAATACTGCTTTTTTGTTAAGTAAAAAAAAAGTAATTTGCCTCCTGTCTGTTCTGAAAGCGGTTTTATCCCTCAAGCATCCAGTCTAAAAAAAACTATATTGAATCACATATGCATAAAGAATGTATAAAAGTTAACCAATTGTCAACATTATCTGTTTTACACAATGCAACTCCAATCAATAAACTAATTTTAAAACAAAACAAAATTCTTGCATTAAAAATTAGTGAACTATTAGTAACAGTTTTTAATGATTCTAAGCGTGGAACTTTAAACGCATGGACATGGCTTTCCAGGAAAATGGTGAGTCTTATTTGCAACTAGCTAGACCTAGAAAAACAACTTCAACCATACAAGCCAAAAGAAGGTGACTTACAATATATAAATCCTGGAATGCATTCAGTCCTTCTAAGATACATTGTACAAGCAGATATTCTAAATCTCAAGTCCAAACTCAAATCATGTATTGCAAATTCTCTTCGAGTGGATGGTTCTGTAGACAGAAACCAAATAGACAATATTCATGTTTTGTTCAAAATTGTGCTGGAGAACGGTGATTCTGGAACAACATTTATGAATTTTGAAGAATCTACTGAAAAAGGTGCTATTGGGTATGAAGTCATAAAAAACGCTGTTTAACGATTTGTCGATTGAAAAGAAGTTTTACCTTTAGTTTCATCAATTGTAACCGATGGAGCTAGTGTTAATGTAGGCAAAAAAATGGTTTATGGTCTATTTTTGAACAAAAAGAAATAAAATGTTTAAAAAACTGGCCCATTTATTCAAATTTGGTGTGCAGTTCACGGGAGTGCATTAGCTTGAGAAAAAATAACTTCTGAAGTTGGTGAATTAAATAAACTTATTCATATATGCTTTTCAATTTCATCCTACTTTCACCAATCGGTACTAAGAACTAATAAGTTGAAACAAGTTGCTCTAGATGAACAAAAAACTATGTACACACTTCCAAGTATTTGATGTTAGGTGAACAGAGTTTACTTATAATTTATTACTGAAAATATTAAAGAATTGGAGAATCCTTGTTAGGTACTTTACTTTTAAAAAAGCAAGATAAAGATAATAAAACAAAGGTTAAAGAATTTTTAAAAAATTTGACTGATGTTAACAAATTAAAACTGTTGTTTTTTTTCGACTTGGATTGTTTGTATTCACGTTTCCAGAAATAAATCCAATCAGATGATGTTCTTATATATGATATAGTTGAGAAAAGAAATAAAAATAAAGGTTATTGAAAATCCAAGATAACATCCTTTACTCGGTAAATGGGAAAGTATACTAAAAAATGAAATTAAAAAAATTGACGTTGAATTAGAAAATAATCATTCAAATATTAATTCAGTTATATGAAAATTAAAGAAAATTCCCGAAGAATGTCCCATCATTTATTTGTTTCTGATACCCGTTCATTTTATGCTGTGCGAAACAATTTATTAGAACACATTAAAACATTTTTGGTTGATTGACTGGATGCTGAAGAATGGACGGCATTTTAAACCGTTGAAACGCTTAAGCAATACAGTGGCAAACATGGAACTTAATGTATGCCACAAAATGATTTGTCCATATATTAATTTGATTGACTTTATCGCTAGCTATAGAGAAGCATCTTACACATCAGAAGTTGCAGAAAAGAAAATGTCTACAAGATTGTTAAAGTTACTATTGTTGAATGAAACTTGGAAACCATTAAGTTTATTAATGGTATGTATCATGTGGTATATTAATTTAATATTAAATATATTTATTTTTTTAATCACATTTATAAGTTTTAAGTATGAAATACAAAACAACTATTCTAAGTTTAAATATTTTTTGTAGGGAAGACTGTTTGCTGCTAAACCCCACTCAGCCGATGTAGAAAGGATGATTTCTTATTATAATATTTTGAAAATGCCTGATCAGTCTTCCTTGTCACCGAATACAATCCAAAGAAAGCTATATTGTTATGGTTGAACGGAAAACAACGACATAGTAAGTTGCATGAAAAAGCCACCAACCAAGAGTGGTATCAAGGTGTTTTTCCTGAAGCTAAAGCTGATCAACTAAAGCAATCAACTAATGATCTATCTAATAAGAGTTTTTCATTTTAAGTTGTTTCATATTACTATAGTAAAATATTTTAACTTTTAATTATATTTATTTTATGTATTTTTAGTACCAGTGTCATATAAATAATAATAATGTTCAAAGTAAATTAAAAATTTTAATAGTATATAAAAGAGGGGAGATTTTGGGAGTTATAACCTCCACAGGTTTTTTGTTCTATAAAAATCTGTCAAAGTCCATACTACGTAACAGTTAAATTAATAAATATGTCCCCTGTAATTAGATGTATTTTAGACTCTAATTTGAATATAATGATTTAAAAGATATGGTAAGATTATATTATTATTAATTAAATATGTTTTATTATATATTTAAATTACTATTACAGAAATTTATTTTAACAACAGTAAAATTATACTAGCTATAAGTAGTCAAAGTTCATCGAAATTTAAACTTTAGAAACTCAATAAAATATTTTTATATTTATACTCGTATTTTTTCATTGAAATACTAGTAAGCAAAACTTGTCTGGATTTTTTAATATATTTTTTATACAAAAATTAATCAATTTATATATTTCTAATTGCAAAATAATTTACGAATTTTTGTGATTTTTCACAATTATGGTAAAATTTGAAATTAAAACCAATATATGTATATGTTACCGGCAATATAGATAATCCGGTATTTTTTAAAATGCTTAGGCATTATGTAAAATTCCGAAAATCACTCGGCAATATATATAATACGAGCTTTGCTTAGGCATTATGTATAATTCCAAATGTCAATTAGAAAATATGATAAAAATAAACAAAATTGGGTACCATCTTGTTTAGTCACGAGGCTCCTACGATTTAAGTGGTCGGCCTCGATGACTACACCACCGAAAAGAATATATACCAATAATTGTTGAGAACTGCCTAAAGAAGAGGTGACCATACAAAATGTAAATATTTGAGCCGTATTTAAAACGTATATAAAGAATATAATATTACACTTATTACAGGCAAGTGAAATGTTATGTTATCAACGACAATGTGTTTACACAACAATTGAGATATGTAATATCACAATCACTATCGTCGTGATAATAATATATATATATATATATATATATAGTATAATAACATTTTATGTATAATTTGTTTTTTACTTTGCCCAAAAAAATTTGGCATTTTACATAATGCCTGGGTATTTAATAAAATACCTAGGTTATATGTAAAATAATATTGAAAATCCTATGTTTTATTTACATTGACTAAAGCCGGTCGGCAATATGCATAATACCTAGTCATTTTGCAAAATACCTAAATTATCCATATTGCCGGTAACATAAATAAATCAAGGCTATATATTTTTGATATTTTTTGTAGATATAAAAGATGAATAACTTATGAGGAATCTTGTATTTGTCATAATATAAAATTATTCAATATCCCAAGATTGGCAGCTGATGTTAGTTACAACTTACAAGTATAGAATTTGTCTACTACTACTCTGACTTACATAAACAAAAAATTTCCAAACGTAACAAGGGCTGTACCAGACTTTTAAATATGTAAAAGATTCTTTTATTTTTTTTTAACTAATTTATACATCTTTACTTATTATAATACAATACCTATATTATATAATATATATATACAGTATACACCCACACGCTTATTTGAATTCTTATGTTATTTATTGAACTTACCAAGTACCAATAACGCAGTTTCGACGGTTAAGTTCACATTTTAATGAAACTTCAACTAATATGTAGTCCAAAATGTATGAAATAAAAAATTTGTATGGTTAAGGCTTGGCAAATTCATATAAGGTCATTTATACAATAGTTGATACTTTAACCAAATAATTAGTGATCACTTTGGAAAAATTAGTTTGTAAATATAATGTTTTTGCAAAAATGAAATAATTCCAGTAAGACTAATATTAATTTACATCTTTCTTACTAGTTGATAATAGTTGAAACTTGATAAAAATTAAAAAAATAAATAGTACTATTACCTATTACAGTCAAAAAAGGGGGGGGGGGGCTTTAGACCGTTAGCTCCCATCCTGTATATGCCATTGATGCTATAAGTGGATATGCTTATAGTAAAGTAAATTTTTTTTTTTATTTTAACATTGTGTATGCTCTTACAATCAAAATTATTAGACATAATACATAGTTCACAGAATATGCTATCAGTAATGAGTAGTAACTGTGATCATGTATTTAATTGTAATGTAAGTACTTGCATTTTGGGAAATTTTACTTTCAATAAAAATAATTAGTATATTATTTCCTTAATTGTAAAACTATTAGAAACGTTATACCAAATAACAACTTTCTTTTTCTTTTCTTAATATTTTTTTGCTCTAAAACCCTTAAATTCTAATTTAATTAACCATAATTGATACAAAAACTATTATATATTATGAATCTGAACATTATTCTAGTACATTTTGGTTCATTTAGTAATGTTTATAACAAGAAACAATCTTTAAGAAAATTTCATCTTATTTATTTTAGTTCATAAAATAATATTAAAATTATTGTACATTTAACAAAATTATTAAATATTTTCAAGATGAATTATTGTCGGCTATTAATTTTCTGAAAAATACAATATTTTTTGATTCTGAAACAAAATAATATAATAAATCATATAATTATAATAATATTATAGTACATGTAAATATTAATTATCTGATATAAGATTTTATGGAATATTTAAAGTAAATAAAATACACACATATTAAGTATTATAATTCAATATTTATCCGGTTTACATGCATTTTCATTTTTTAAGCATAAGTAGATACAAGAGTAAGTAATTACAATCATTTGTTTAACAGATAATAGTGCATATAAAGTTACATTATATTAGAATATATAATTTTCATATTTATAAAAAATGTTCTTCAAAGATACAATAAAAAAATTTTTGTTTTAAATCTTGATATATAAATTTTTTTGATTTTTAGCAAGTTATTAGTAACCAATTTTTTTTTAATACAATTTAATTAATTCAATTTATATGATTTTTAATTGTTTCATTGTTAACTATATTATGCAGTTTCTTCTATGTAAATGGTTTGTAATTAAAGAAAAGGTAATTTTGTTTAATTGGATACTTTAAAACAAAAAACAGCATTAACTAATTTCTTTAAATTTGACTTCAGTTGTCAAGTTGATGTCTAAAACTAAATTTTGAGTTTCAACCAAAATTCAATGTTTTTAATATTTATAAAAGAATCATTAAACAATATTTAAAATAAAAATTTATTTTTTTTATCATTTTTCTAATGTGTAAATGTATAGTATTTATGTTTGAAATCTTCTGAAATGAATAAATATTTTTTTAAATTTGTTTTAAACAATTCTGTAGCATTCACAATTCTAAATCTATTTTTAAAGAGTGGAAATTGGTATAGTATAAAGTTATCTTAATTATTAGTTTTGATATGTCAAACGCCTCATTGTATTTGATGTGCATTGTTTGTATAGTTACATTAAATTAATATTGCAATTATATATTAATTTTAAACATAAAATTAATAATTATGCAAAAAAAATGGAAGCATTACTTTGATACTTAAGTGAATTATAAAGCTGTAAAAAAGCTTTTAAAATGTGTTCATAGGGAACAATTAAAACTGTGAATAATGTCACAGTTGTTGACTGAAGTACTCGCATGTTAAATGAGTTAATACCAGACAATTATATATAAAAATATTATACATACCATATTAGCATTCAAGTCCGGGTCCTATAGTTCTTCCATTCGCTTGACAATTCAATGTCTAGATTTTTTTTTTTCATTAATCTAGTCTTAGATACATTTTTTGCCAAGTGGTCTGGTAAAATTACGCAACTGTTATAAAAGAAAATCAAAGATTATTCAAACATAAATTGAAGCCATAGCAGTAGATGTTACATTAAACACGCATACCAGTAATCGCACGTATCACAATATGAATTTGAATAAATCATGTTTTGATTCAACATGTTGGACTTCAATTAAAGAAATAATTATAAATGACTTCCGTCGTATACCGAATGATGAGGAATTCCAAGCCAATAAATACAGCATACAACACCAATAATAAAATAGTAAGTTTCGTCATCACGACAATAGAATGAAGGAATACTGAATACTCAATAGTCAATACTAATTAGTAATTAGTAATTAGTCATGTACAATGAACTTACGGAGTACAGTAAATATTCAATAATAAAAACTCCAATGATATTATACATAGTTGTTAAATCATGGTTATGGTAACAATAATAAAAAATTGAAACACGAGTGCAATGATAACATGGCATATTATCGCACTCGTGAAAAATCGATAATGTTATCGTCTACAATTAATTTGAAAAAATTTAAAATATTGTTATTGCAATTATATATTATATCACTTGTATAGTTGTATAATATTTCGATCGAAATACGAATTACGATTTACGATCCAATTATTCAAGTTTTAAAATATACATATCCTTGAATATGATCGCTTTGTCCAGTTACATACCTATCTATTTATTTAATTTAATACTTTTAAACAAAATTACTTGTCAGTTAAGTTGATACAATTTATAAGTAATGTGGTGTAGCAACCTGCCCTAAATAATGTCTTCGATTTCCTTAACCGTCCGTTCGTTTGCTAATTCATACTGTAAGCTGTATGACGAGCTCGTGACGGATCCTTTTGTACATCTATGGTTTTATCAAGAAAAGTGGTGACTTCGGTCATGACTCGTGGCTACTGTATTAGGTTTCACAATGGTATTAAGTAGGTAGGTATGCTAGGTGAACGGCCTGTTTGTTATTAGTGGTTATCGACTTGATTTTTTCCTCGTCGAGACGTGTGATTAAGGTTAAACTGTTTTATTTAAATATTAAGAGCACTAAGTTCTTCACATTGGCCTTAACATATTTGTAATTTGTAATCGTATGATTGTGTCTCATCGTACATTCAGTACCTATGTGAGCTTTTTATACATATGTTGATTAAGAACTATAATAATTTATTGAGTTCGTAATAATGGCATAAAGCATAATGTTGAAATTCAAATTTGGACCGATTTATCTACAATATGGATTACACTAAGTATACTTGGTATTATATTATTACTAAAAATGTCATGTCATCTTGATAGGTAGCTACTTAATTTTAATCTATTATAATATTATCATGTTACATTTCATTTGTACTAAACTGTTTAATTCGTCAATATTTATGGTTTGTACTTCGTAGACGATGTGTAGCTCAGTTTTCAACTACTATTGTATAATGTATAATGTGTATAACACATAAACTTAACGTACAAAATTTTGGTGATTTATATAAATTAGTAAATACTAAATATCATTAGATACGAATAACCGCGATTATCGGCACGATAAAAATGCCCTATAAAGTGTCACACTGTCAAAGTAGTTTTAATTATGATGCATTGCGTTTCAAATGTTTAGGAGTTTTAGGACCAAAGCATTTACAAAATAATTATTCATAGTCATTATGTTACTGTTACTCAAAAGTCACTAATACGTACGGCGGTTAATCATTCTTGGTATTAATTAGTAATAATTACAACGAACGTGTCGTTGTAACGCACGAGCATTGAACCATATGATAACTATAACTATATCGTGTATTTTAATACGCACGAATAGGAATGCTAGAGCCTGGAATGATAATATGATGATGATGATGATGATGATGATGATAATAATAATACAGTATCACGAAGAGATATTATAAAAGTGTGAAACCACATATTGTCATCATTGTCGCATTCATGTTTAATTCTGCACTCTGCGAGTTAAACGCTCTGTTTAGTGTTTACAATGTCTGTGTAAATTCGTAGTTGTATAATTCAGCAAACTCATTTTTTGTTGATACCACGAACATGGTTCGTGTTATCTACAATCGTGGCCTATAGAATATATTGTACAACAATTCAATTTTTTTTTCCAGTATATTTATTACGGTATCTCCGGGAAAGTAAGACGTATTGCAATTTGCGAAAGGCCCGCGCCCTGCTGAATACTAACAATAACCAAACGTTTGGTATTGGTCGCACACTCGCACGCTCATTAAACAGTTCACGCGCCTAAATAATATGTACTTCAATTGTAAATATATTGTATTTACGAACTTCTTGAATTCAAATGTATTTTTATTTTTCATACAATTGTGTTTCAATGTAGATTAAATATAAATTGTATATTGTATTATTGTATTAACTTGAAGAATATCAGTACAGAAAAGTAAGTTTACCAATTTGTATTACTTATTTACACTACTTAATAATTTTTATTTATACAGTAGTTATTATTTATATCTGACATCAGTCATCAACTGATATTTTTTCTCGTAGTTTCGTCTGTTTTATTATAGAATATTATTTACTTGTGTTCGTTTTTAGTTTTAATATCATTACTTACTCCGAGTATTCTCTAAATACATTTTTTGTTTTGCTGTATACGTATTACGTAAAAGAGATATCGGTCTCTAGTCTCAATTATAGTTTTTATTATTTTGTTTCGGTAAACAGATGTGACGCACACTACATCATATGTAACAAAGAAAAACTATTATTAATTAGTGTTTAAAAATACTAAATAGAAATGACACTGTATACAGGTGATGTCTCATTAATCTTAAAATATAATAAATTAGTGCCCTGAAAAATGTATTTAATATTGTTAGCTAAAGTGAATTAATCTATTATCAAATGAAAGGTATGAATATTATCCTATTTCATAAGCTTTAATTTTGTTATTATTGATTTAAAATTAATTCTGCTATACACAAATTTATCATGGCATATGTTTGTAATATGGAGATGTTGTACGAGTATAATAGTTTCTCAAAAATATTCAAGAAAGTTGGCTATTAAGATAAATGTATTCTCTAGAAAATTGTTTGAATTTGAACAGAATTGTAGAAGTTTGATAAGTTATGATCAGTAAAATCAAATGACCGATAATATTTCCACTCAAACTATATGTTAATAATACAAGTTTTAATTTTATTTTTTAACATAACTATAATATATTATCAGATTATCAATAGTATGTACTCTGAAGTGTACTGTGTACTAGTATTTAAATACTTTTGATATGCTATAATCACATAGATAAGATCTAGTGTGAGATATGACTATTTGTATTATTATATACTTGTCTTTAATTTAAATTACATGCTAATATACTAGGTTGATAAATGTTTACTAACGACCTTTATATTATTTATGTTTTAATTAAATTATTATGTGCAACATTATAAATACTAATTAATATGGATGGTTACATAATATGTACAAAGTTTGATTAAAGTATTATTTAGGATTTTATATTAATAAGAATTATCAATAATTTTTATAGGAATAAAAAATCAAGACTTTATTAAAGTTCTCTGTATAATTTAGTATACAACTAAGACTTAAATTTTAGAAATTGTAAGCTGAGTTATTTAAATTACTAAGGCTATATTAAGAAGTTTATAATTTTTATAGTGGAACGTGGACCTGGTAAAAGAAGAATCAAACCACCTGCTAACCTAGAATTAATAGAGTTTTACAGTGAAAGTTCATCTGATAGTGATTTTAATATTGAAGATCACTATGTTAATAGTGAATCAGATTCTGGAGATTCAAATTTCAGTTTTGCAAATGGTATGTTTTAGAAAAATAAGTTTGATTGAATTGGTTTTATAATGTTATTTATTTATTTTTTTATACATAAACACACACACATATTTCAAAAGATGATGGTAATAAAAAAAAAACTGAAAAAAATGATGACGATGATACTAAATGTAACGATGATAGTAAGATTATTGATTGTATTAATGTCACGACACCTCGTCAAGATGATTCTATAAAAGTAATATATTTAACTGTAATGCATAATTTTCTTACTGTTTAAACATATTAACAATTTTTCAGGTGAATATTAAAGAAATAGTAGATACACTTCGTATTTGCAGTATTTGTTTAGGCGATGTTAGTGATGATGTAAATGAGTTAATAGATTGTGATGAATGCGGTATATCAGTTCATGAAGGTAAATAATCTTTTTAATGATTTAGGTAATCATAGTAAGTATTAAAACAATTATTTTTAGGTTGTTATGGCGTTAATGATTCTGAAAGTGTAAATTCAACTATTTCATCATGCTCTATGGAACCATGGTTTTGTGAAGCTTGTAAAGCAGGAGTAGAAAATCCTACTTGTGAATTATGTCCTAATTTTGGTTTGTAATTTTTTGAAAATATTCTATAAACTAAACATTTACAACTTTTGATTGAATATATGTATTTTTTAGGTGGGATATTTAAAGAGACAGATAATGGAAGATGGGTACATTTAATATGTGCTCTTTATGTTCCTGGTACAATATTTGGTGATGTTACAAGTCTCAGTAAACCTAAGTTATTTGGATATGGTACACCTCAATGGGGTAATAAAAGATGTACTTTGTGTAAAGATTATAAATTTAGTAGCACTGGAGCGACTATATCATGTGATGCTGGAATGTGCCGAACACAATTTCATGTTACTTGGTATGTATTAAAAATATAGTATCTACTTTTCTTCAATTAGAGAAAAATTAAAAATTGCAAATTAGACTTTATTTATCATGTTATAATGTCTCTCTTGCACTTGTGCAGTTTCTTTCTATTCAACAAGATATGGACCTCGTGTGGTAGTTCATCCATATATTCGGTGGCAAGACTCAAGTCTTTAGATCGGGGTGGTGTTGAATAAAACAATGACATTATATCTCCTCCCTTATTTTATTTTGTATATTATATATATATATATATGTGTGTGTTTATAAGCTAGAAATATAATGAAATATATTTTAAAACATTATAACATTTTAAAATTAACTTTATAAAAAAACGTTTAAAAAAAATAAATAAAATGTGGTACTTATATACTACAATGAACGATAGCTCTTATAGTCGCATGCACAGTTCACAACTAATCTATTTTAAGAATATTCTAATAGTATGGCTCAAAAAAGTTTTTTTTTTTTTATATATTTATAGATTTTAGGATTCAACATCAACAGTTATTAGTCTGTAGTTAGTTTTTACTGTGGGAGAGGGTACTGTTTTGAAAATGTGTATATGTGGTGAGGGTTAGTAATTTAGGCCAACCATCGTGCCACACCAGGCAACAAAAAAGAAAAGAAAAGATTATGATAACCATTAAAAAAGTATATTTTATTTTATTAATTAAATATAATAAAACCAAATTATTTATTCGTATTTTAAGTGGGTAGACATCGTCTATTGTCTCCTATAACCCTTCACTACCACACATATTCAACTACACGTATTAATATTTTTATTAATTACAATTTATTACCTAACTTGACTTAATACTTATTATTCTAGTTGAGTTTTGAATGGCTCGACTCAATGATTTATCATGTTTTCACCATACTTTAAGCACACACACATGTACATACTCCACTATAAAAAATATAACAAACCGTTACAATACAGTCATAATTTCTAATTAAATTTCAAAATTGTAGAATGAAAAAAATATTATATTTACCGTGTATATATTCTACTTAAAATAATCTGTTCAATCAAAATTATTTTTATAAATATTTTATTATACTAATCAGTTCTCAACAAGAAGGAGGTTTATCAGAAATGACGAGTCCAGAAACTGATCAATCAGATCCATTTTATGCTCATTGCAAGATGCATGCAGACAAACTACTAGTAAAGTTAGTATATTCATCTTTCAAATAAATAAGCGTTTTTTTGTTTTTTATCGATGTTATTATAAAGTAAATTAAGTTAATAATAAATATGATTTATTATTCTGAAATTAACTACGTTTTTTTTTTCCAAGGAAAAAGAAAAGAAATTGGGAAATACTTCAACTAAGAACAAAGCAAATGAAATTAAGGCGTGAACAACAGTCTTTAGAAAAATCAACTTCATGGCAACGTAATCAACAATGGCTTGGAAAACTACGATCTAAGTATAATCAAATGAAAAAACTCAGTCAAACAGATTCAAGTTGGTATTTTAACATTCTTTATTTGTATTTAAATTGATGTATATTTTTTTTTATATATATAGCAATTAAATCTAAAGTTCCTCGTGCCATTACAACATCAGCTTCATCATGTCGAGCTCTTTGGTTAAAAGCTGACTTAATGGGTATAAATTCAACATCTCAAGAGGTTATTGAAGGACAAATAAAGGAATTGCGTGACATACCAAAAAAATGGAACGTACTACCCGCATTTAGGTTAGATAGATATTATAACTTAAATATATATATATTATTTCTATAACTATGTATATTTTTATTTATAATGTTTAGTTTGGAATTCGTAAGTTATTTCTCAGATAGAAATTTAAGATTGACAAAATTGAAAAATCAGCTAAAACATTTTACTGATCAGAACATAAAACTCCGTGATAAACAAAAAATTGTACAAGAAAAATATAATCAAGTAATACAATTATTTAATAACATGCCTATATTATTTATTTAATACACTTATTAAACTTAAGTTGATTTTTTCATAGGAATCCAAAAAAAATGAAATTCAGAAACAAAAATATTTGGAACTTGAAAATATTATTAAAGCATACCATTATATAATTAATTTGTACAATCCTAACGCTAATATTTTAGATGTAAATATATTTGATAAAGAAGTTCAAAACGATCATAATTCTTTTAGTGAGTTAAATTTATTTTGCTTTCAATCATTGCTAATCAATAATTTGTAAAATAATTTAAAATATTTATTTTACTTCATTTTTATAATTTATACTTACTAACAAACAGTTTAACTCCTACCCTTGCTGTTTTAAAAGCAGGTGTTGGATTCTCAATGAGACATAATGATAGGTATTAAATATATTATGCTGTTTTATTATCCATTATATCATATGTATGTGATCTTATATTACGTAACTGAACTCTAATATTTGTTTTTTCAGATAGTGTCTCATTAGATTTGTATAACAAATGTAGTGTTTGTAGTCATACAAATGATCAACATTTACTGGTGAAGTGTGACACATGCAAATTATACTATCATTTGAGTTGTTTAAGTCCACCACTGACTAGAATGCCTAAGAAAACAAAATTATTTGGATGGTAAATTAAAGTATTAAATATTTCAGAAAAAAATATATTAAAAAATGTTACAGGGAATGCAGTAACTGTGAAAATAGCGATTTTTATTCAAAACAACAAAAAATTGATCCAAATGCACCTAGAAAATTAAGATGTGATGAAAGTGAGCAATCCATATCAAGCAATCATAAATCTTCATCTTTTAATAACAAAGTAAGTATAAAGTATTTTAATTTTTTGTAAAATCAAAGTTTTCTTAATTAAATTATTAAAAATTTTAAAATATAATAGTTACAGGATTTAAATAGTTTGACAAAACAGCATAAAATGCTCAGTGTATTAAAAAGTAAGTGTTTAAAATATTTAAGTCAAGATTTAATTAAGATAGTGAATGTTATTATTTGACCTTTAAACATTTTTTAGAAGAAAAACAAAATGAATCAAACAAGAAAGAGTATTCTTTAGATATTATAACAAAACAAGTTAAAGCTGACAAACGCAAACATCAGTATGATAGTAATTATAAGACTTCAGAATTGGAACCATTTGATAGTTCCCAACCCAACTCAACCCAACATGGAATTAAGCTATTTGTAAGTTTTTATAACTTTAAGAATTCCAGTCATTTAACAATTTTATATTTAGATTAAATCGGTACCAAGTACTAGTGGAGTTAAAACAACATCATCAAAATTATTTATTGGATTACCGGCAGATAAATCACCACCGAAATCTACACTAACCAAACCAGAAAAATGTATTCCGCCACTCAGAATTAGCACCATATCGACAGATACTATTATGTTGACTCCTAAATGTTATGCTTGTGGTTTAACTGGAATTAGCGCTACAATGGTTCAGTAAGTATTATAAGTACATAAATATTGTAGTAATTAATTTATAGTTGATTTATGATGCAGAGATATAATATAATTATTTATAATTTTTTATTTAGTTGAAATGTGAATTTTAAAACATAAAATTAGATGTTCATGTATATATTTAATTAATTTTTCAAATTTTGAAAAGATACTTCCAATTGTATTCTTTTTTTAGTTTTTAAATAATATCATGAATCATACCTTTGTTTTTTGAAAGTATTGTGTTGGTTAAAACATGTAATTTTATTTTAATTGAGTAGTACAAAAATCATTCTTTTGTTGACTATATTTTAGTTGTTTGTTTATAACAATTAAATATTGTGAATTAACAAAAACATAATTTTTCTATCAGAAGTTTTAATACAAAATGTAATATTATAATATCCAAAAAAGAAAAGTGTATAATGTGTTCTACTTCTTTTAGTTACGGCCCTTAAGACCATCCTGAAAACACTAAACTTTGCCACCTATCCCTGTCCTCCGCTACTTCTCTCCACTTGACACCAGGCTCTATCTTATCCACTTCTTTCTTCACACCATCTTCCCATCTTAACTTGAGTCTACCTAGTGGTCTTTTTCCGTTAGGCTCTTCTTCGATCACCCATTTTACTAAAGTACCCTGTTTGCGCCAAGCATGTCCTGCCCAACTTAGTTTCCGCTTAGCGATCTCTCTAACTATATTTGGCCTCTGGAAAAGTCCTTAGAGTTCCACGTTATGAAGTTTTCTCCATTCATTCGTTTGTCTATCGTATATGGGGCTAAAAATTTTCTGTAGAACTTTTCTCTCGAATATCATTAATCATGATTCTTCTGTTTTTCTCAGCGCCCAGGATTCTGAGCCGTAAAGAACAATTAGTCTTAGTAGAGTCATGTACATTTTGATTTTTAGGGCTTTAGATAAGGCCTTCGATTTCAAGACTTTTTCAAGTCCATAATATCCTCTATTCGCTAGTTGTATCCTTGTTGACACCTCTGTCTTGATGTCGTTATCCTTCGTATAATGTGTTATAGATATAAAAATTACATAATTGTTGAAACTAATTTCTTGTATTATAAAATCTAAATAATGAAGGTTTTAATAATTATAAATATTCAAATTTAAAATATTTCCATTTGTTTTAATTTTACAGGTGTGATGAATGCAGTGATTATTATCATTTTTGTTGTCTTGATCCCCCGGTAAAAAAAACACCAAAAGTTATCGGTTATTCATGGCACTGTGCAGAATGTGACCAAACGGTAAAAAGATTTTTTTTATTATTCTTATGCTATTGTTTGCTTATTCAATCAAAATTTTATTGGTGGTATGTTGATATTTTATGTGGTAGTGCAATAAAATTAAAGTATACTATTTATTTAATAATTCTGTTTGGCATTAGATTATAGTTGCCATTGTAGTTGACCTAGGACATTATGGAATCTGTTCAGAAATTTGTTGATTTTCTAATTATTAAGTTATTACAGATATTTACTACAAACCAGTATACAATTTTAAGCCTTACTGATTATTTTAAATAATGTTAAAATCATTAAATACTCTTCTAAAGCATATTTAAGATCCATTGTTGCGACAGCAATATCTCACCACTTCTCCTTGTCTAGTATATACCTAATTAAAATCATTCTTAGACACAAGCTATAATTGATTTAATTATTTCTGAAGTTATAAAGAATAAAAATACAATTTCTAAATCAATTATATTGTTAAATATTAATTATAAATAAAGCAAACATCATTTATATGTTTTTATTCTTATGTATTTAGAATATAGAAGTTGTTCTTAATCTATGGTCCACGGTAACCTTAATACATAACATACGTCAATACTTGACGTATTGTAAAAGAAAGGTATTTGAAAAAAAATTGGTAAGGGGGTCTGTGATTTCTTAAAATCTTTAATCAGGGGTCCGTGATTTACAAAAGGTTAAGAACCACTGGTCTATAGTATTGTATTAATGGCGAGTATCAATTATTATTTTAATTTTTCAAGTGTAAATATTATATTTTAATAGTTTTAAATAAGTTACCACTTAAATATTTACAGAAAGAATATAGTGTGATTTTTAAACTTTAATATTTAACTAATTTGTAACTTAACCAAGTATATGTTCAATGAAATTTAATTGAATACTTGACAGACATAAGTCAATAAGCAATAGAAATTGTAATATAAACTTAGATTTTAGTATTTTTTAAATTATTTTTTTATTTTTTTATAGGACAGTGACTGAAAATACTTGGAAGCACAATTTTACACTATTATTTTTAATGATTATTTGTATTCAAAATTTTTAAATAAAATAAGATTTAAAAAATAAAAAGATAGTCTTACATTAAGTTTGTTGTATTGTTAAATAAAACCTCTCAAGTCCATTATAATTATTTGAAAATATTAATGGATAATTTTATTTTCATCAAATTATTTTTTTACTAGTTTCAAGTTCAAGCAATTTTTTACAAAATTTAAGCAATTCTGGATTATATCATCTTTGATATAGCTGATAATTATGATGATTGTTAACGGCAGTGGATAAATCAAAGGGAAATTTTATAAGGAGCCCCTACCTAGCAAAAAAAACTACTTTACTCATAAATGTTTGACCATAATTTTGATAAAAATGTGTAGTCGCTATCAGTCAAATACAGGAGAATTTAATCAGTACTGTTTAGACAGTGTAATGATATACAGATTACTGACGCATAATTTATGCTGCACTCTACGATTTTGTTTAGGTAAAAAGAATATAGAAACGTAGAGTACGATAATATAAATCATTGCTATAACCAATCAGTTGAGTTTAGATTGTATAGTAGAGACAACAGTCATCTTTATATTTTTAAGTAACATTTTATTAATTTGAATTAGTGTAAGTATAATAACCTACCTTAAACATAAATCCTAATATTTCAATTTCTTCAACTCATACTCCGCTACTCCTGTGATCTTCAATATACTACCCTTAAGAACAGGGTTTCTCAGGTGAAAGTGTACTGTATAATATTATTACTATTCAATCATATAATAAATCTTGTATAGTTTTTATATAATTTCTATTGTGTTGGTCTATGAACGCAGATCATAAGTTTCAAGGACCTGTGAAATATAACTTAGAAAACTTTATTTTGTATCGATTCAATAACCTGGTTCATGTAGTGGGAATAATTAACTAACTACTTCTTGATAGATAGAATTAGGTATAAATATCAATAGCCACTAGGTTTAAATAAACGGGTATGTTGCAACAGCATACTAGTTATATAATTCTTCATCAGGTATAAAAAAATTGATATTTTTTCAATACTGCGCTCATCAATATAATATTCCTTTGTAGATAAAGGAATAGAAATCAGAAAAATCAGATGTCTTACTACTGTGGTTGAAATATATAACTTATATATGAATAAAGTAAATGAAATCTATAATTTATTTTTATTAAAAAGATCTATTTAAATGCTAACAATACATTTATTCATTTATATTATTTTTCAGGAAAGCTAAAAAACTAAAATAAAATGTATTTTTATCTTACATAAAAACCAGTATCATGCTTGATGAACTAATTAATATTTTTCAACAAACACAATGTTTTCATACCCAAAATAGTAAATACATAGTATTTATAAAACAATTTTATTTTAATTTGTAGTTATGTGTTTTCATTCCTTATATTAAAAGTCTAAGGAATTTACTAAAACACTTGTATTGATTTGAAAAAATAAAAATATAATTTGAGTAATGTTAAATGTTTTGAAAGTTTCAATACATATATAATAAAAGTATTGTTATTGTTGTATTATAAAGCAGGCCTGGACTGGGAAGATACCTGCCTACTATTTTCAGTAAGCAAACGGCCCATAGATGCAATATAATATAAGACCTTTTTTTTACTTCTTGTTATCAAGTATACAATTATAATATATTATAAATTATAATGGGTGATAATATAAATTTATAAATATTAAATGTAATAATTTGTATTTACTATTTACTATAATATTTAATAACATTAAATCTAGACTTTAGGTTACATTAAAAACTAATTAGGAACTTAAAAATTGTTATACCATATTATTAAACACAATATTTAAATGAAAATATTAATAACATAAAAATTCAAAATTTAAACTTTTGATTACTTAAATAAGAATATAAACTATAAATTATAATAATAAATTACTAAATTTCTAATTAATTTAGACAATAGTTTTAATAATTAATTTTGATAATTTGCCAGTAACCTAACCTAACCTAACTAGCTCGTCAAAGTAATTTATATTAAATTTCATAGTAATCAATGTAAAATAAATAATTAAATTTACCAGTATATTAAGATATACATAAAATAAAATGTAACATTTAATTCAAAGAAAAAGTTAAAATTCTTGGCTCACCGAGATTTTTTTATGGCCCTCGATAAAAAAAAGATTGGTCACCATTGATTGTAGATAAATATGTTTTTAGAAATATTGTAGTCATTAGATCATTTTTTCAGTAATTTTTACTACTTTTTTAGATTATCAATACTATTTATTAGAGTTTATGATAGATATTTTTTTAATGCGTATAATAATATTAATAGGTAGTACATATTTAATTGTTTAATTCAACTTCAATAATATAACGCCTTTTATTTTTTCCATACCATGAAAATAATAAATAGGTACCATAATATATATCAAAACTATTATTTGAATGATTTTAATACTTAAAGATAAATTAATTACTTATAGGCTACACCAAATTACTATTACTATTCGATATTCTAGTACCAATCAAGTCCATAATCTAAGAATTATTGACAGTAATTAATAAAGATGTATGGTTATGTAAAGATTGTATACTTGACAATACATCATTATTTTTATGAATCGTTCGATAAACAAACGTGTTGTCGATAAGGTTAGGACTTGATCACTTAGGAATAATATATACATACGATACATTACCTATTACTATTTATCCCTATATAGAGACTACAGCATACATAAATACATAAAAATTAGTTCTTTACCATTATTATTACTAGTACTGGGATTATTAAATTCAATAAAAAAAAAAATTGTATATGAATTTCTCTTCGGCCTCTTCACAGAACTTCGGATCATACCATTATGTAATTCGTTCTCAAAATATTACCAATTATATTATTCTGTTAAGTCATATTTACGATAGCCATTGACTTATATTCTTTATTTATACAAAAAATGAAAATAATCACCACTTTTTAGTTTTTAATATTATATTATAAAAATTTAAAATTTTGATTAATTAATTGAAAAGCACATTTTGCCTCAACGTGTTTCAACAATACATAATTGCTATTTTTTTTGTAGATGAATAGTCCTAACTATTTAAAAAAATAATAAATTTATATTTGCACACAAATCTAAAAATATGACAATCGACATTAATTTAAATATAAGGTATTTGGTTAGGTAATGATAAATGTTTTAATGTGTATATAAGCATTTAGATAATTTCGTAATTAAATTCTCGTTAACCAAAGGTCATTAATAACGTTGCAGTATTTTGATCGAAAACACACGAAGGACAATTAATCAGTATGAGTCACGATGTTAACAAATACCAGAGTGCATTATATAAATTGATGATTAAGTAAATAGCAAATATTTTAAACTTGAATATAAAATTGTTTAATGAATATTTAGTTTTATATAGATAATTATTATCATTGTGTATCATTATATTATTTTATATAGACTTGAATTGTAGAAATACCTTTAAACATTTTAATAGTCTTAATAGTCAAATATATATATTATTATTATGATTCCTTATACAATTTCTAAAATAATAATTATTATCACTAATATACCGTACATAATATTTCGTTTTTTGTAATTTCATCATTTCAGTTTAGGTTGGTTGTACTGAATTTAACTACATGTTTTCGAATATTATAATATATAATACAAGGGTCATTTGAAATCTCTGTCGTATGCTATAGATATTCCAACTCAATAGGTACCTATGGTGTCAATGCCGACCCATAATCTGTCATGATTAATGGTTTTTAGGTTCGAAATTGAGATAATAACATTGTCCATTGTATTTTCTTGTACACTGCAGTATATGTTATAATAGAAGGCATTCTGGTGTTAAACTGTTAAGTACCTGCTGGGTGTAAGATGTACATCCTGCTTATGTACCACTTCATTCAATGGCCTACAAAGTCATATTGTATTGCAGTTATTTTTTTCATTTATAAAATATAAATGTTTAAATTTTAAATTCCAATGGCTAGTTGTATAAAGGTCGAAAGTAGACGATTTAGCCGTATTCGAATATTACTGTTATAAAATTGTATAATTTTCAATTTTAATTCCACAAATCATACCGATTAGATTGAATAATACTTGGAATTTCAATGTGCTTTATAGAATAGAATCAGATTTCAGAATGTACGTAGTCAGTGGCATGACAAATATTATTCTTATTTGTCAAGGTTAATGGTGCCCAAACATTTACCCACTTAGCACATACTCCTATGGTAGATAATTTAGACTCTTAACCAATTACCACTCAAAATAATTAACATGTAAATTTGTTGAGCCATTTATAACTCGAAACCATAATTCTTATAACGGAATATAGGATTCAAAATTTAATGCATAGTACATGTCAGTTAACTGGACTTCGCTCAACTGAGGATAGAAAAATAATATATAGATAAGCGTTGAAGAAAATATTAAATTAATTATAATTTATAAAGCGTTTTACAGATAATTTTATTTTAATTGAATGCATTAAAAACTGTTTTTATCTAACTTTGTCAATTATAATAATTGTCAGCTAAACAAACTAGCACTATAACTATTTAGTTTATACTATTGACTTAACCTTGCTTATTCAATGATATTATAATTTAACCATAGGGACATAATATCTAATAAGGATTTAAAGATATCTTCATGAAATTACTATTGTATTGAATAACAATATTTGTCAAAATAATAACAAATATAATTTTAAAACTAATCGTGATTTTATTTTATACAATAAAATAATTTATTAATTTAAATAAAAAAAACAATCTGTTACCTATATAAAATGATCAACAGTTTAATAGCCTAAATGAATTTTATTCATATAAAATAGGTACATACACATAAAAAAAATATACAAATAAATAAAAATAATATACATCTAATAATCTATAAATGATTATAAATGATATTTATTTTAACTTAATTAATATCATACCTTAATATAAAAATACTATCATATACGGAAAAAAATGATTAAAATAATTATTTCAATAGTTAACTGACACCAAAGTA